AATATAACAGATTCATAGTTTACATTACTTTTTTGCATTAAATCCAAAGAGTGACTCAAATGAGCAGCAAATTTAGTTGCGTCATGCCATTTAGGCCTGTAGCATAAACAAATCAGAAATTTTTGCTTGTGAGAAGTTTTCAGACTGATAAAGCTTGTTTCAAAATCTTTGTTTTCATAGCATGTTAATCTTATTAATTTATTCCAGTCAGTGACAGTTCTATGAAAAAAGGAGAAGAAAATTGTTTGTGAAAAAGACGTTAAAAAGAGGTGGAATGCAAATATGTTTAGAGTGATGAAGACGTAAAGAAAAAATGGAGAAAGGACTAAGGTGATGGTAAATTTTAAAAAACTGAACAAAGTCAAGTTATTTCATGAAATGTACATGGCATAACAGAATTTATTGCGCTTAAGGTGAACGACAACGAACCAGCAATTAATTTCAACAGAATAAACTTCTAGAATTTCTTGCTAAGACTGTTGCAGTTTCTGATGACAGATGTATTAATCCTATCCTCAACAACATGTACCGACAGAAAATGATGTTCATTTAGAGTCGTGGAAAAGTGCTTTTTCGTATTCAGCACACTCGATCATCCAGTAGATTTTCTATTTTATTTTTTTGAAGAGAGGTCCCGTAAAAGGTTTAAGAAAAATTTTGAAACTAATATTACATTATTTTCCAAAGTCTTTTTGTGCCATTTTGTTTGAAAAATTTTCCTAAACTTTTGACAGTACCCTTCGCCAAAAATAGAAAATTCACTGGGTTATCGAGTATGCTGAATACAAAAAGCACTTTTCCACAACTCTAAATGAACTTTCTTTTTTTCTTCACGATGATATGCTCACTCAATATGCAAATGAGCGACACCTTTCAAAATGCTATCGCATCTCATCCCATCTCGCAGATCTGCCAGCTTAATTTTACTATTGCAACTGAATGTCATAATCTTACCTGAGTTATTGAAGGTCTGAGAAGCCTTACTACAAAGAGTTGTTTTCTTGTGGGTGGTGGAGTACAAACAGAGCCACATTCAACGCTAGCAGTTTTTGCTTATTATTTATCTATATTTAATATACAACTGTATCATATTTATTTCATCAAAATCTTTTATTTATTTGTATTTCTCGAAAAAAAAATTCTACAACAGGCACTCTCATGGAGTTTTGGTGACACAAAAACAAATGTGGAGTATGTAATAATGCACTCTGATGCAATTATATATATGATGTATGCTGTGTGACTAATTATTCATATCTGATTTATAAGAAAAGTCGTTATTTCCCACTAACATTTTTTTATAAAACTGTGGTAAATAACCAAGTAATAAATACAACGGTGTTAAGTTTAATAATAAAGGTTTGTTGTGGTTGGTTACACTTTCTTTAAATGTGACTTTGTCAAAGGAAATTTCGTCTAGTCTGTTGAAAACGGATACGTGCGTCGGGTTAGGAACTACATTTCCAGGCAGATTCTAGATTCCCAAAAACACTCTTATAAGTCCTTTTATTGTTTGCTCGAGAGCATTGAGATAATTTACTTAAGTTATGTTTACTGCTGTAAAAGTAATTATAATAATGTTTATTCATGTAATGTGTGACATAATCAAAGGTATCTGTAAAACGATAAAAAAGAAAACAATAAGAGGTTAAAAAAAGTGAGATGTAAATTAAAGTAAAAAGTAAGAAGGGGAAAGTAAGTTTCAGTTGATTCCCTGATAGTTGCAATTATAGTTTCTACTGATAGCTGCATTATACCAGTCAGTTGCAGATCGATGAAAAGATTTTGTTGAAGATTTCAATCTTGTTATTTTATAGAAGCTCGGCTAGCAAAGGAAATCTCGGCAGAAATAACGTAAACAAACATAATCACTTTGGAGAAATCTCTATGAAAATTAATACTAATGCACAATGTTACCTTGTTTCTCTATTTGTTTTAGATTATCTATGGCGAATAGTGATATTTGGTCACATGTATTAGTCATGAAACAAATGACTGAAACTTATTATACAATTACAACATGTTTAGCTGATATATTTCAACGTTATATTAAAATTATAACCTTTAATAATACTAAGAAAGACTCTTCATTTTCTGATAATTCTTTTCAATCATCATCTCTATTGAATGAGTTATGTCATTCGTTGTTTTCTTCAGTTAATTCAGATCAGTCGAAAGTTCTTACAGAATATTTATCTGTACTACAAAATATTTTGAAGTGAGTATGAGAGACAATGAACGTGCGTTATATGCTTGATATCTATCTACTACTTTATATTGCAAAACAAAATCTTCGTTTTATTTCATTTCTATTTTATTTAGATTAACAGTATTTGTATATGAAGATGTTGAAAATTGTTTTGGAGAATAAGGACTATATTGCATTATTGAGAAACATAGTTTTTCTTCTATTTAGTGCCGAACTTCAGTATTCGAACTTAGTCTTAAATGAGAGAAATAACTTTCTTAACGTTGGACAGCGGCTATAAGCTTGATCATTGATCTTCAGCTTTGAGCTGGGTCTGACGTCAGTAACTATTTTTATACATACGGCTAGATTTAGTGTACTTAAGAAAACCTAAAATGATTCTGGAATCCATTATGGTAATAAGTGTTGATTCCAGTTCTGTTTTTTCGGTCCAAATCATATGAAGTTTGCCTTTTGAGTAAATCAAGCTAGTGTCTTGTTAGTTTTCACAAACTTTTCCAATAGCAGCTAATTAACTTCCAGGTTTATTTTACAAGCATTATAAATATCAACTATTTTTGTAGACAAAATACTTTTCATATTAATCTTGTTCAAAATGTTCGTCGTCTATTTCGTTCTGACAATTGTTTACAATTCTTGTTTACAAGTATTCTTGACGAAAAACTTCAGTGTCAAGAATGTGATTATCTATTTTCAAATAGGTATGTGTAATTAACGGTATTGTCATTTTACCTGTCACATTAATTTAATTTTAGTGTTACTGATGTTGTACACGAAATTCAAGAACTCAATTCAACAATATTTACAAAAAAAACCCAAACATCTTGTACATGTTTCAGATGTGGTGATACAAACCAAATGAAAACATTCTGTTTTAAGCAGTGAGTATTAATTTCGAAAGAAGACTGTTGTATAATGAAAGGAAAACTGCTCAGTTCAGGAAGCTTAGGTATATGTAGAGAAAAATGACGTTGACCTTTCATCTTTTACGTTCCGTGTATTTTTTATATGTAGTAACCGCTTGTTGTACATTTTTCCAAGCCCAGGCCGCTTTTTCTGCTGCAAAAAGTCTAGAATAGTCAAAGTTGTTACTTTTCTGATAACTTGAAAACCTTTCTTGATTCATTTTGCTAGGACTGGACCATGTCTAGCATTGATGATCAATCGATTAAAAAATTCAGATAATGAATTAATTACACAATTATCAAGTCAAAATGGTTTATACACTCTGATATATATAATCGAGTTGGAAAAAACACAGAAATCGATTGTGAATGTTTATCAAAGAATAGGTAATACATTTTTTTCTTTCCTGGCCGTAATAAGTGTTCATTCTTTTTTCTGTGTTTCAGATGACTCGTGGACAAAGTTTGATGGGCGTGAAACATCTTCAGTATCGAACGTTGAATGCAATGGAAAAGTATTAACATTATGGTTGTGTCAGTCACCTGTCCAATGGTCATCATCGACATCATTTTCGAAAACAAACGAAGTATCACAGCAAACGGTTCCGTCTGTATCTACCATCATATTTCCACCGTCAATACAAAGACCAGAAGATGATGTTGAGAAATTATCTTTGCTCTCTCCATCACCGTCGCTAGGTTCCTCGTTAAATGTTGTCGCTACCAATAATTCATCTGTTTTCGTATATAATTCAATTGAAACACCAATATCCACTATCGATGAAACTATCACCGACTTATCGCCAATTTCAAACACGGATACAGTATCTCCAATGGCTATTGAAAAACCGAATGAAGCAACAAGTGATGCACAAAACACATATCAAGGATCTAGTACAATAACATTTGATAATTATCTTCTACTACCAAATAATGAATCATCATTTTTATATAATATACCAATGGATCCCAAAACAAATGATCAAGATGAGTTTGATAAAATTGATGATTCATTTTGGGATTCTATAGAAGTAAATCATTCGTCAATAACTGATATTAGTACTGATAAACTAACAAATGTTGAATACCCATCGTCAATTATTAATTCGGACACGACCGTAACATCTTCAACTAGAAGTAATCAGCCAACGTCTACTTCTACTGCATCAACAATATCAAAAACAGATTCAGTGAGTGATTTATTTTTAACTCTATTTGATCAAACAAAACAAGAACATCAAACAAAATATAGTATTACTAATCAACGTGTTGATCATGATATTGCAGTCGATACATTGGCATCAAATGTTTTGTGGCCATTATTAGTTAGTCAGACAAAAAGAAAATTGAAAAACTCAAAGACAACAAGAACATCGTCAATATCCGGTTTATCGGATAGTCAACGTTCTTTTGCCAGTAATACATTTTCAACATTAACTCATCCCATTCTAACGTCATCATCTTCCACAGCGTCACGAAGTGGGAGTAGTAATATGAATTTAGAAAAGTTAAAACAATTTTTAAATTATACCGAACCAACGGCTCGAACAAAAACATCATTAAATACAACCACTCCTCGAAATCGTCGTGTAACACCGTACTCAACAAATAAAAAATAAATGATTAGTTTTACGTTTCCAAATGCAACTTCGAATGTTTGCCTTCTTGCCTCGTCTCTGTGAAACAGTAAGAATAATTTCGTTTTAGAAAATTATTCGAATGTATATTTGTGTATGTGTTTTTTATATGAAAACATCTGTTATTTTATTTCTTTACTTGTTTTTTTCTATTGTGATTGTGCAGCACTCTTGTCATTGTTTTGCTGAATTTATTCGTCATAAAACATGATATAACAAATTCAAAGAAAAATAGTTGGGAAACAATGGTTGGAAATATCAGAATAGCCATGCTCATTTTACGATACCGAAGTCACTGAACAATAAATTTTCATTTCCATTAATTTTCAACGTAGAGATGCACAGCAAGTGCATCACGGGGATTTTCCAGCGCCTTTCTATCAATGAAGGATCTGTCTATTGAATAACATATTTTGTCTTCATCTTTAGAGCTCACTATGTGCATTGAGAAGAGGGGAACGTTTCTATATTCTGAATCTCATGAACTTGAACACAGATTTAGCTTAAAACGGCGTTTATTTGAATCTGTCATTTTACAACGTTGACTGAGAACAACTGTGAAAGTGTCTTACATCAATGCCTAATTGACGATCACAAGTCTTAGAATCATTATAAACATGAATTAACATGAAGACTTAGGTTGACACTAATGTTTTTTGATGAAACACCAAGAATTAAAGCAACCCTTAACTGAAATTACGGTGAGGCTTAAATGCTCCACTTAAGTTTAAGAGTTAGTTATGAATAGTGATGGAACGATTTCCACATCTTTTGTGATCAGCTAAATTCAAGCCAGTATGACTTTTTTATCATATGATAAATTACATTAAGTATCAAATATTTGTCATCAAAGTTGAGACTAGCAGCAAATCCTGATTCATTTTTTTCGTACTCGACAGTACGGATTTGATAGATGTCACTGTTAGGTTAGCTGCAATCCTTCCGGCTTACCTCACAGCAGAACTCTATCCAAGTCTTCTTTGCTGAAAGAAATGTTGGATTGGATAAAAATATTTATCAATAGTGCGGTATCGGTTGTTCACCAATCCCAATTCTTCTTATGATAGAATTTCAAATCGATGGTTCAAATCATTCCTTCCTTCATGACAGAATAGTAAAAAGAGTATGTGAAAAATAAGCCCTGTAGTACATAAACTATGGAAAAAGGAGAAATCGCTATTTATGGATAGCTTTTGCTTGAAAAAGTCGGCACTTTTTCGTTTGTGAATGCCATATCCGTTGTTCGCTCGGCGAAATATCGACCTGTTTTTTCTTATTTAGATAAAATGGTTCCTAACACTATCGAGAATGTTTGTAGATACGCTCGCGACGGAGAATCATTCAAAATTCAGAATGCTATAGAACACGGTAATGAAATTTGGTTCATTTCTTCAGATGTAATTGAGAGAACGAACTGAAAAAGTTTTCTTTTCTAGGAATTGATATAAACACACTTAATATATTTGGTGAATCGCCTCTTGCATGTGCAGTGCAACATAAACAATTAATGTGTATTGAGTTTTTGTTGGCTAGTGGTGCTGATCCAAATCTGTACGAAATATTCGGGGGTTTTCTTACTTCTATTTTTGATTATCTAGTCGAATTTTGTTTTGTGAAATATTCTAGTATTGTTCGTTTCTTTTTGCTAGCATTTTGGCTGGTGGTTATACAGCAGTTCATATAGCCTGTCGGTTAGGAAAATTATCCATTTTGAAACTATTAGTACAAAAACAAGGTGATTTATTTTTACGAGATGATGCCGGATTGACACCAATGTAAGTATTTAGTGTTCAATTTTTAGCTTTTTATGGTATTTGCCTGTCTAAATAGTTATTGGGCATATTCGCAATATTCCATTAGTCGCCGACAGAAAACATTAGCTTATATTGACTATTTATATCCATCAGCATTAAACGAGCTTCACGTTGATAGAATTCCTGTTAAACAAGTAAGGTAAGCTTTGTCCGGTGTTGTAGTAGTCAATTTTATTAATATATTTCCAACGTGTTTAGCAGTAATGCAGGTCTACCATTAGATATAAAAACATCGCTTAAAAGTCCTCGTTCTCCACCATTAAGACATGTTACAAGTGACATCATCCCTATTTATCCATGTACAATATCCGATTTGATTCCCATTCAAGGATCAATTCATTATTGTGTTAGTCAATATGTTCACGTTTCTGTCATGTCACTGAATAATCAAAAAGTAACATGTAAATACATTGATGAACAATTAAAACGAACTGGCGGTTATTCATCGTCATACAATAGTTTATTACAGAATGAATTTGAATATATTCGTCGTATACAGAATTTTGATAATATAATTAAATGTATTTCTGTCTGTTACAATAAGCAAATACCATTGATTATCGATTATTTAATATTTGAACCAATCTATCGTGAGTCGTTACATTTTGTATTACACAAACAACATAAATATCCAAAAATCCGAACAATCTCAGAAATATTGCATGCAATACTGAGTGCTGTTCAATATTTACATACTGAAAGAATTTTACATTTAAATATAACGTCACATGCAATCTATTTTACACGACATAAACAAGTTAAATTAGGAAATTTTGAATATGCTGTCACTTGGTAAGAGATATTTATCATAAATCAAAATTATTTACTTTTTTCTTCTTTTTAGGATATCCAATCCACTTGATCAAGAAATACGTGATATAAACTATGCTGTTGCAGCAGACTTCTATTATGAATGGTTAGCACCTGAATTATTTGGATATCCTCACGATAATATTCGTCCGACAAATAAATGTGATATTTATTCAATCGGTGTTCTATTATGGGAATTAGTTCAACGGAAACTACCATTTAAAGGTTATTCAAAAGAACAATTAGGTGATTTTTATCGTCATCAATATCAGGAAGGTGGTCTTTCACTAGCGCTACCATTAAATAAATATACTATGCCAGCAGTTTTCTATAGATTTTTACAATCGACACTATGTCTTAGTCCATCAGAGCGCTTGAGTATAGACGATTTAATGGAATTGTGCAATAATTGGCCAGTGACAGTAAGTTTATGTTTTTTCTGTTGAGTATTTTTCACCTACGGAGTTCGTATGAAAAGTATCAGTGATGAAAATAGGGAAAGTTAATCTTTTGTATTGTTCAAATTTTAGAAAGACATCCTCGGACAGTTGAATATAGAAACTTTTATCCTTCTTATATTATTCGCGTAACTGGATGTGTAATTTCGTTTTTAGATGAGATACGGACCTTTGGATTCACCACGAAAACAATCAACTTCTGCTCATGTTACATCAATTATTTCCACGCAACCACCACAAAGTGTTTTAAATCTTCTTCAACGTCCAATTAGTGGTTTAAAACTGTCGCAACATCTTACAACAGATCAACAAGAAAATTCATTCGATGTATTCTGCGAATCACAAAAACAATTAACACTTGGTGAAAATAACGACAACCGTGAGAATATTATCAAAAATCATGGTAAAATATGTGTGAAACCTTACAGTCAGTCGACCGATAAAATAACGACAATTCCAAAATACTCAAATAATTATAAATCAAATCATCCAGAAACGTTTCCCGACACAGCTGTTGATAAAAAACAGCTAGTTGAAGAAGAAAATGAAACAAATTCATTTATACCAAATTATAATTTTAATAATCAAACAAATTTTGAAAGTGATAATACGTACTTCGATGAGGATGAAGAAGATGACGAAAATAGATATAGTTCTTCGTCTTCGGAAGACGATAATGATGAGGCTGGCAGCGATGATTACATTTACCATCGTCATTATGACAGTAGACACAATAAAGAAAAATATGCCGTTGTAGAGTATGAATCCTATAAGGGAGATGTAAGTAATGATCGATCGAATGCCTGTGTGCCATAAAATACTTTAGCGTCATGTAATCAATAATTAACATATGGAAGTAGCACGCCTAAATGGCAAGTGTAAACTATATGGTTTTTTGTACGTTTGGATCAAAAACGAAAAATGAAACGTCTTCTATCCTTTTTTTTGTGATAACTCTTTTTCTCGTTTGTTTTGTTTTATGCTTGCTTTTTTTATCTTCTATTAGCTAAAAATTAAATGGAAATAAACCAGCTATTTCAGAAACACATGTGTAGTAAGAACAAATCTGTAAAAATGATCGAGCAATGAGAACGCAACGTTCTCAACCATTGCCTATACGAGAAAGTAATTTCTTTCTTGCGTTCTTAGAACAGTATGTATATAAACTTTAATTTTTAGTTCGATTATACATATACTGCTTTGGATCGTTTACACAGAGCTACAGAGTCCTAGCGTAGGCACAAGCCATGATCCAGATAAAAATTTATTTCGGAAAAATTCTTGTAATTTGAGTTTATACTGCCTCGAAAGGGAAAGTTTTTGAGTTTTTCTGAATGAAGGAAAAAATGAATGGAGAAAACTTTCCCCAGTTTAACAGGAAAATAAAAGAAAAATGTAACCATTTCACTTTTTTTCGCAAGAAAATTTTAGTTTTCTGCATCTCTGGTTCTACACAACTGTCAAAAACAATTGTAATAGATCTTTGTTGTAGTTTGCTCAGGCAGTCGACGACCCATAATTTGCTGAGTACAAGACAATTCGTTTCTTATAATCTGTCTTCAGTTAAACAAGTGTACTACAATAACAAACTGATTCTTTGAAGCGGAAAGAGGCTCTCCGCCTTTTGGAAACCCACTGAATGTTTTCACAAAATTTTTGCATAAGCTAGTAGAAAAATATTCGATCTATCGTCATCTTTTTTCAGTAGCAATAACAAGTTTTCCTGACCAGAAACGGCTTAGATATAGCAAAATACACTTCGAAAAGGCTAAATCATTAAAACAGTCAAAATTCATAACACTGATATATGTGATTGACACAGAATATGTAGTATTCATACATGAATTCGCTCTGCATAACTTAAACACGTCACAGTTTAGTAGATCTTCTTGTTCGTTTAAGCAAGGTATATGTATTTCGCCCGTTAGAACCAGAAGTCCTAACAATGAGGCCAATAATCCTAACAGAAGTCCTGCTAATATAAAAGTAATTAAGCTTTTGCTTAGTATAGTGTTCATAGTCAAATCAGCATTTGTATTAATCGAATAAAAGTATGCATGTACGGAGGGAGGACTTGATAATTTTTCTGAAACTGATTGATCTTACTCCAAATGATCTTCTATAAGGCCACCGATGTCGATACTGCTGTTTAAATTTGGACAGATCAATTCGTCTATTCGCTCTATTTTTTTCACTTTCTATGATCTAAACTTTCTCGCCATATTTCTGTTCATAATAGGCGTTTTTCGTACTGTACGACGTAGATTTACTTCTGTCAGCCTTGCTGAGTTTCGTAAAGAAAGAAATGCTGTTTTATCTCTGTATCGTCGTGGAAAAATTTCTTATCTTCATTTCTTAACCTGTCTCTTTTCTGATCCCCAAAGTTTTAGAACTCGATTAAAACATTATGTTACTCAATCGATGTTTCTAAGCTCTCCAACTGCATCTTCCGATTCTGATAAAGCAAAACTTTCAATTCACACTTTTCTTCTCCTTCTCTAGTCTCCATGGGCAAATTCCATCAACTCCTATACCAGATAGGTCCCATACGAAGTCCCGAGACTTTCGTGTTTTGGATGCTGAACATTTACGTCGTAAATGGGCTAAAAGTCTAGGACAAGGATTAATGGGATTCCTTCATGCTTTCTTTCTCTTTGTGCATATATTATCCCTCCTCATTTTATTTTCCACCTTTGTTTATCTACAGCTAATATTCCAGCTCTCCGGAAAATTGTTCTAGTTGTTCTCATCCATAAAAAAAGAAGTATACAAAATGCTATTTTCCCTATATCTAACTATCGTCCTGTCTCTTTTCTTCCTGTTAGTTATTAGCAAAATTATTTACAGAAAAAAATCTCATTGTGGGATAACCAACGATTTGTTTTCGCTTCTTTCTTCTTATTTTGCTAGTTACTCCTAGTGTGTTCGTGTAAGTAATTCTAGCTCTTCCTTTCTGTTGTTTCTTCTGATGTGCTTCCTCTGGTGCCTGGATCACTCCATTGCTGTGCTTTCTATGACAGTTCATCGTCTCTTTCTGCTCTTGATTCTGTGAATTTTACGTCTAGAATTATTCTTCAAAACTTTGAGGAGAGGGAGTTTAGGAACTTACGCCGAAATCACTTACTCCGAGTTTCAAACGAGGAGGAGGGGAATTCCTCTCCTAATCGAAAACTCGGTTTTTCCTCTTCCTCATGGACAGCACTCTAAGCATGTTCATATTCCTCGTCTTACTCAATACTTCGCCCTACACTAGCAAAACTTCTTTTTTCTGGTCTATGGTGACTGACTGGAATAATCTTCCACAGTCAATGATTTAGTCTTCTTCTCTCTCTCCTTTCAAAAGAACATTATGCGGTATAATGTTCTATAATTTATACCACCATATATTCAACAGTTAATTGTCTTCTAACGATCCCAAAATCGTGCATGTCTTAGTTGTTTACTTTTCGGCATTTTCTATCTCCTGCTTTATTATGTTGTTCTTTTTCTCTTGCTATTTGTTTCATTTTTATATATATTTGTTTCTATGTACATCTAGTCTCAACAGAGGCATGTACGTAACTTGCTGAGAAAAGTAGAGCGTACAGTGTACGCATTGCTATCATATCAATGCTATTACGCTTTGTTTTCTAAAACAACTTTTTTTATATTTAAGAGAAAATAAGAAAAACTTCTTTAACTGTCTTTAAGTGGATAGTCAGTTAGGAAAAGAGACTATTTTTCTTGTTATACACCATCAGTGATATTTTTCTCTATTTGTAATTGTCTGCAAAGTTGCTTTCTAGGAAAAAAAGTGTATAAAGAAAGTTTCTATTTTTCTCTTCTAATTCCTGATGCCGTAATTGATGCTTTCTTTTTTAGATTTGAAACGTGTACGCTTTGCGAAGAAAATAAAACAGAGCGTACTCGTACGGATAAATTCTATTAGAAACACTACATACTTTCACCCATCGGTGATTTAAATAAAGCGTTTTCAAATAAATGTCAGTCGATCGTCTTGGTAGGTTTTTCCTAAAAATTTGTTCCTTTTTGCATTGAAAGTTGATCGTATCGCCTCTTTCTTCTTTTGATTTGATTCGAATCATAGTTGCAAACCATTTGTGATTTCTTACTGGTCACTTTGTCACCATTATGATCTTTGATAAACCTCAAACTTATACCCATAGCAGCATGAGAGCTTGTCTTTTGTTAGACTATCGAGAAATGGATCTAATTAATTGTTTCTGAATAATATAGCATGAGGAGTGATACAATAGTATAATAACAGGTTTTTAATTGTTCAAAACGTTTGCTCCTCTCTAATTGAATTGATGCTACGTGCTAATTTGTCACACATGTGAATTGAATAAATATATACAAACAAAATTAATAGTGCCGTTTATGTGGTGCAAATGCTTTTTTTTAAACTGTTTGTTTCCGCTGGATGAATATTTGAGAAAACTACCTAATTCTGTACGAAAAACACGTTGCTATACGTATTCTGCTCAGATGTGTACATGTATGTCTATTTCCATTTTAAATTTATATATCACCGCACGATCACGTTCTGATAGTTTTTCAGACATTTTTATGCCGTAGTTTCACTTCTGTATGCTTTTATGTTCCTGTTATCTCGCATATGAAATTTTTCGTTCTTTTTGCTACGCCTGAATAGTTTTTATTTCACGGTCTTTTCTTCGATGTAGCGATCGAGTTATATGTCGATCAACACAGTTCAATTTTCTCATAGCCAGAAAAAGATTTTATCAATTTTTTACGCCGATTTTAATTAAAAGAAGAAACAACAACATACACGGTCGGTCGACATGTTACCTACTTGTGTTTATACATGCAGTTATAGATATGGCTATAAGCACTTTTTTACTTTTATTTTTTTAAATGCGTAGGAACAAGATATTTTTTGTCTCAGTCTTTTTAAACAGAACAGGATAAAAAAAGAAATTATTAGATGTAAATGCTTGCTCAGACACTGCACATTTTATATATTTGAATTGGAAGAAGTTGTTAGCAGAAAAAGAAAATTTACAGTCATTTTCGTTCAACAAAAAAAGAGAAGTACAAAAAAAGATACTCCGAGATGGCTATACTATTAAACAGTATATTTTTTATTGATTTAGCAAAGTTTTTTGTAATATGTATCTCTGCATTTGTATTAGTGGAGAGGAGCGACGTGCATCTATTGGGTACGTCGCTACTATAGGCGAATTCGCTTTAAAATTTTCTGCAAATGATATGACGTGGCATAGTTAGTCAAGTACGTTCGAGGAAACACTGAAACTTTAATGGTTTTCTGTGTCATGAGATTTTGGATTGGATCGTGGTTGATTTCAAAAAAGAATTTAGATATTAATATAAAGATGTTGCTATTCATATGTCTACTCGAATGAACTACTTATATTAATGTGTCCTAAAAATTTATTCCTTTTCGCAAATTTTGACGCTAAGATAGTCATTTATTACGTAGCGTTATGTTTAAAATCTGTTCGATGTGCGAAACTGTATCATTTTAAATAGCCTTCTAGGAGTTTTTAATCATTGGGCCAGTATCCATTAGTTCAAGGAAAAGGACTGGGTCATCAATAGCAAGGCAATGTTGCTATTGGACAACATTTGCTTTTTAAGTTGGGAAAATCAAAAATTTTAAAAGCTGCATTATGATAAGATCTAATCATCTTAGTTAATTTTAGAGATAGATTAAAAGAAACGTTTCTTCACAAACAAAACTGTTGTCTTTTCATGCAGTATGTTGTCTTGGTCTTTTTTTATTTTATTTTCAGCTGTATGTGTGTGTGTGTGTGTAGTGGCGAATGTTCTTTTTCCTGTACAGAAATAAAACTATTTGAATACGTGTTATAACATAGTGACTCATACTTTAATAATGTCGCAAATCAATCCTGTCAAAATTGTTGATTTTCTTGTCTTTCTTTTTTTAGATCAATAACAATTTTTTCGAGAATGATTAGATATCTTTATTTCTTTATTGTAATATCAATTGGTCTTTCTTCCGCATTCTATTTACCAGGCTTAGCACCAAACTTATTTTGTAAACAACCAAGAGATGATTCACATTGCAAGGTAAAGAAATATCAATGATTATTATTTTATATCTGAAGATATTTTTATTTATAGATGGAAGTGGACGTGTTTGTTAATAGATTAGATTCAGTTGAGTCTGTTTTACCATATGAATACAGTTAGTAAGTATCTCATGTTGAGTTGATTTACTAAAAAAAGTGCTAATATCTTATTGATCGCTAATCTTCTGTTCATTTTTAGTTTTGGTTTTTGTAAGGCAGATGAAAAAGACACATCCCCCGTAGAAAATCTTGGCCAAGTACTTTTTGGTGAACGAATCAGGCCATCTCCGTATAAGGTTAGTCGTTTTGCTTTGCTGTGTTGGAAAAGAATGCGCAAACATATTGGATGGATCCTAGATTCAATTAAAGTTCGAAATCACACAGTTTTTATGAGTAACATAATTAAGATTTATTTTATACATCTGTTTCTTTTCTAATTTTCAGTTCAGTTTTCTCCAAGATAGAAAATGTGTATTGGCTTGTGAGAATAAATACGCTGAACGGACTGATGATCAAAAATTTTTGAAACGTTTAATGAAAGGCATAGCGTTAAATTATCAACAACATTGGATTGTGGATAATATGCCGGTGACATTATGTTATACAACTTCCCAACAAAAAGAATTTTGTTCACGTGGCTTTCCTATTGGTTGTTATGTAACAAAAAGTGGTCTATCAAAAGACTCGTGTAATATTCGAGACGGGAAAAACGATACATATTACGTATTCAACCATTTAGATTTCGAAATAACATATCATAGCGGGAAAGGTATAGAATAGAGAAATTCATTCAAAAAACCCTCATATATTCTTTTTGTCGTTATTTGAGGTGAAACATGGGGCGGTTCATTTCAAGATGACGGTGGTCGAATAATAGCAGCCAAAGTTCAAGTCAGCAGGTAAAGAAGATGATTTTAAACTTTTTCACATTGTAAATAAATAGTATTTATTTATTCTAGTATAAATTCTTCCAATTGTGATAGAACTGCTGAGCCAGTTATGTTTCAATCGAATGCTAAAAATGTTTTTATTCCTTTCACATATTCAGTCACATTTGTGGTACGATGAATATTCTAGCTCGATCAAACAACATTTCAAAGTTACTAGTTTTTATTGTTTTAACTATTGTAGAAAAATAATGATATTCGTTGGGCAAGCAGATGGGATTATATTTTAAAATCTTTACCACAAACAAGAATACAATGGTTCTCAATTTTAAATTCATTAGTTATTGTCTTGTTTTTAAGTGGTATGGTAGCAATGATTTTATTACGAACATTACACAAGGATATTGCACGATATAATCAAATGGTTGACGCTGTATGTTTTAACTTTTTTTTCTGAAAAGGCAAAAGTAGTGTTAGATAGAAGCTGTTATAGAACAAACTCAAAATCAATTTACTTACAAATGTCTACTAAAAAGAAAAGTATTTTCCTCCTACAGATTCGAATCTGCAAAAGTCATCGAAATACATTATTTGTTTTTCCACTGATGTTGCACAATTTTTGCGCTTGTTATTGCACCTTTTCTAATCTAATTCGAATAATCAAATCGCATCTGGAGAGATAATTTTAATCTATTATTTTCAGGATGAAGCACAAGAAGAATTTGGATGGAAATTGTGAGTTGATCTTATAACGTATTTTGTTCGTGATTATTCACATGCACTAGAATATTTTCAGAGTTCATGGCGATGTATTTCGTCCCCCGCAAAAAGGAATGCTCCTGGCTGTCTTAATTGGGAATGGTGTGCAAATAACGATTATGTCTTTGATTACGTTGAGTATGTAGCTTCTCTTTATCGATATAATTATTATCAATGTTTAATTAAGATTCTTTTACCTCATTTAGTATTTGCCTGTCTGGGTTTTCTCTCACCAGCTAGCCGTGGTGCACTAATGACTTGTAAGTAAACTTGTTTTGGATAATCTCAACTGTTTCGTCAGATCAGAATATCTGGGTGTTCACTATCCAAGATCGTTTAATCTTGTCATTTTTGATGCCAAATTCGGTTTTAGTGACATTATTTTCAGATGAAATAAAAGAAGAGTTTACTAATTTTGTTTCTCAAATTGACTGATATTTAACTGATGCATCTTCTCGTGGATGTTCTTTTGTACGTATCTCGAATGATATGCCGTTTTATTATTCACAGGTGCTATTGTGTGTTATGTCCTTTTGGGTACGCCAGCTGGTTATACGTCAGCAAGATTATACAAAAGTAAGAATAGTCTACAACTTCGATGTATAAACTAATGTTTTTCTTCTCGATTAGTGTTTGGTGGTGAAAGATGGAAGAAAAATATTTTGATGACTGCTTTATCTTGTCCTGGGTATGTTTCAAATATATATGCTTTTAAATATTTAGTTTGAGAGACTATTTTCAAGTATATATAGAAGATAGTAGAAATTATGTTTTTCACTCATTTTAGAGTTATATTTGGCGTGTTTTTTATTCTTAACATCGTACTCTGGGCAAACGGAAGTTCAGCGGCCATTCCATTTTCAACATTTATAGCCTTATTAGCATTATGGTTCTGCGTATCAACACCATTAGTATTTGTTGGAGCTTATCTTGGTTTTAAACGACCGGTATGTGTCATTGAGCTATACTTTCGCAGTTAAACAGAATTTTTATTATTTATTAAAGGCACCGGAAAATCCTGTCCGAACTAATCAAATTCCGCGTCAAGTACCAGAACAAACTCTGTACACCAAACCATTACCCGGCATATTAATGGGAGGAATATTGCCATTCGGATGTATATTTATTCAATTGTTCTTTATTCTGAACAGTATATGGTACGATATATTGTGTATACATAACATATTCATTCGGTTATATTTGTCTTTCAAAGGGCCCATCAATATTATTATTTCTTCGGCTTTTTAATGGTTGTTTATCTTATATTACTCTTGACATGTTCTGAAACAACGATATTGCTTTGTTATTTTCATTTATGTGCCGAAGTAAGTTGACCACTTTATTAAATTGGAATTATGAATCGAAAAATAGACGATATTTGCTGTTTTTTCTAGGACTACAATTGGTGGTGGCGTTCATTTTTAACAAGTGGATTTACAGCCGTTTATTTTTTTATCTATAGTATATACTATTTTATGACAAAATTAGAAATCAGTGATGGAGCATCAACATTTCTCTACTTTGGTTACACATTAATGTTAACGTTTGTTTTGTTTTTATTTACGGGTACGAACGTAATGCATTCTTGATGATTAGCAATTTTGGCGACGCTTCTTGAATAGAATTCCTTGCTGTCTCTTGTAATATGAGATTTCTAAGTAGCACTTTTTCGTCCCTGAAATATAGTAATTTATGCTCTGCCTAGATAAAAGTATAGACTATATGCTGATTTTCATTCACCAGAAGAGAAATAATTTTACAACGAAAAGGTTTACTGCTATATTAGATAGTACTTCTCATTACTTTTCTCGTATTTAATGTCGTTATTTCTTACTTTAGGCACAATTGGATTTCTTGCCTGCTTCTGGTTTGTCAGAACAATTTACAACGTTGTTAGAGTGGATTAAAGAATTTCTCATAAACATTTTTGTACATGTCTGTTTTTTTCTTTAAATTATGTTTGTTCGTCTTTTGTTTCTCATTACTTATTGTGTAGAACTCTACCTAATTATTCTGGGCGCTGACTTAACAATGTAGATAATAATCAATGCAATTTCAATCAGAACAAACTGTTGTCATCGTCATCCTTTACGATATTTGTTCAGCTCAAGGGAAATTGAATAGCGGTCTTAATAAAATAAAAATTAGGACGATAAATTGCAATGATGATCGAATAGAAGAGGGGTACGCACACATGGTGAACTGTTTAAATGCATGTGTATGTAATCCAGTTTTATTCCCTCTTGGTCAAGATACGGTGTGTATTCTGAAAATTTATTGCATCTGCTATTGATTGATGTACTTCAAAAGGCGTTACTTGAAAGCTGCACGTTTGCACCGGGATGTAGCGGATTCAACGAATATCCCTACAACGGCTCTCGTCGGGATGAAATACTTTTTGGAAATAGAATCTTTCATCTTTTGAGCTCGGATTTGAGAATTTTAGCCAGTAAATTTGAATTTCCCACACCAAAGTTTGAAGTGCATCAATGTCAGTATAGCAGATGCACTGGCCGTTCATACCACACATCAATAAGTTCCTTTCAATCTGAAAATTCATTGACAATGGTCTTGTCAACTCAAACTTTATTCTGAAAAAATCGTAGTGTGGACAGGTTAAGATAAGCTAGGAGCAAACGCTGGGAACATACTTGTTGAGATATGGAAAACTGTAGTTAGGAGGATATTTTAACATTTTTTTTATTAACAAAGTAATTAACTTAATAACAAATTATTAAAGTTTTTAACATTTATTTTTGAACTTGACACTTTTTGGTGTGTTTTTTTATG